CAAATTTTCATTTGTTACTCAAGACACAAAGAAAAGAGAAAACACTCTGAAACCAATCTTCTGCAAAAAAGGAAAAAAAGCACAATAAAATTGCAACAAAGAAAATACCCTAAGCATCTGTTCTTCCTCAATCGTCCATGGAACCTTCTTTCTCCTCAACTGTGGAACTGCTATGTGCTGCAGAAAAGAACATTTTAGCACTTAAGATTTCATTTCGAATTAAATCAATTGGATAAATATTTTGTAACCAAAAAAAAAAAAAAAACCTCGGCATGTTCCAATGAGGAAAAAAATCATTGGGAAAGCATACTAAGGATGCCAAGTGGATCAAAGTAGCCTAACAAAACACACAAGGAAACAGCAGAAATGTTGTGATAATCTAATGGAAAGTTATTCATGTATGGAAAACTTACCACTTCCTTTGCTGCCTTCTAAATCTTATGGAATAGTTCAATTTAATAACCGCATCATTTTCAGTATCAGAAGTATCCTCTCCATCAAAATTAAGAACAATGGGTTGTTGGTCAAGATTAGTTCCATGTTGTTGTAAAACTTCTTGCGGAATGTCCGGAATTCCTGCTTTAGCTTGCATCTGATTTAAATGGGCGGTTTCAGTGTTTTGACTAGAGGGGTTGTCACTGTTGTAATCAGGGCCATCTGAAAAAGGCTGGGCCAGCTCTCTCTCACATAGGCTCTCCTTTACCACCACTTCTTTGCTTTCCTTTCCCAAAGTTGGGATGCATAATGTTCTACTGTGAACATTTGTCTCATCTTCCAGACATGGTGTGTTAACATCTCTACATGAAATAGAAGTCGAACTAATAAACTCATCACTTTCAGTATCAGAGGTCACCTCCCCATCACAATCATGAACAATGGGTTGCTGGTCAGGATTAGTTATATGTTGTTGTAGAACTTCTTTCTGAATTCTTTCTTCATCTTCTTTGTGATTTACTACATGGGTAGTTTCAGTGTTTTCACTGGATGCATTGTCAATGTTGTAGTCAGGGCTGTCTGATAGTTGGGCCCCTTGCTTTTCAGGCTCTCTCTCAGACAGGTTTACCTTTACCACCTTTTCTTTGCCTTCCTTTCCGATGGTAGCGATGCTTACTGTCCTACTGCAAACATTGGACTCGTTTTCCATAGATGGTTTGTTGACATCTATACATGATACGGAAGGCCCTGATTGTTGTTCATTGGCTAGATTTCTTTGAAACTGGTAATCAAAAACTCTATTTTGACTTCTTGTATTTCGTTCTCTCTCTTTCAAATGCCCATTCTCCTGCATTCTGATGCAATTTGCCTCATGCTTCATACTTTGAGTACTGATATCTCTACACAATGTAGAGGACTCTGGTTGTTGTTTATCAGTACACAACTTTGACACTGACGACTTAGATCTTGCCTGTTTTGACTTCTTGTATTTTGTTCTTTTTCCTTCAAATTCCCACTCTCCTGAATTCTGAGTAAATTTGCCTCATCTCCTACACATAGTCTGTTAACATCTCTGAATGACATTGAGGGCCCTGACTGTTGTTTATCAACTAGACCTCTTTGAAACTGACAATTAGC